GAACACAACAGTAAGAACCACGATGTGTTAGAAGATATTTTGTGTGAAATCTGTTGTCTTGGCTTACACAAATGGCAGAACAATTCAAGGCATCGCGTCCATTGGTTAGCCAGTAAGTCCGATAGGTTATCACTAGGGAAGGTTCAAGACCGAAAGCTACCTATCCTAATACAAGATATTTTCGACTTATACTCTTTCGATAAAGTCTGCATATTGTTGCATTTCCGTTATCATCAAATTCCATTCATGTGGGGGATTGTTGGAAATGGTTATAAAATTCTGGGTAAAAGAAAAAAAATTTCCTAAGTTTGGTCTATTTTTTAGGTGGGCCCCGAGCGTCAATTTTTACGGGTCAAAGTGGTAACACGTTCTATGCCGCATTGTGATTCACGTGATATATTTGATTGCTCAAAACCATTACCGAGTGAATGGGAAATTGAAGCCAAAGTATGCTCCGTGGAAATGGAGTTTTGGTGGAAAATCCTTAAAGGTTTGAATAAGGCTTGTCCCACATTGATTTGGTGGGAAGTTTTGAATGAGTTTATAAGGCATGGGTTTGGTACTTGGGGTGTGCCCCAAGGGGTACCCAAGTGTTTTAGAGAGGGAGGTTATGGGTAAAATGGGCTAGACCCATTAGACCCAAAAATCACCACACACACGTGCGCGCGCCGCCGTTGCTGTCCGTCTGGTCGGGCGGGCTAGGCCTGAGCCTGGACTTGGGCGCGGGTGTGTGGTGTGTGGTTCGATTGGGCTTGTTCGGCCCAATACTAAACTTTTTGGGTCAAAAACATTTGAATTAAATTTTATTTTTTGAAAAATAAAATCTAGAATTCAAATTAATTCCGGAATTAAACTGGTCCAGTTTTGTCTATACACCCAAACAAGGCTGTTCAAATTCAAATCCACCCGAATTTCAAACCAAACAGTGCCTTAAACAGATTTGTATCTTTTTAATTCAAATTGAACAGGTACTGTACCTGTTTAATTCAAAATAGAAAGCCATCAATCCATCTATAAATAGATCAGCCCCTCATTTGGATTCATTCACTAATTTTTGTCCATAAAATTTTGCATATATAATCTTCATTTTGCTGCATTATTTTCTTACTAGAGAGAGTATAAACACTTAGTGTGTTCGACGAATGAATAAATTGTAGTGCCGCTTTTATTCGTTGATAAATCATTTCATCCTGGGAGATAGACGTCCACATTCTAAAAGTACCGTGGAGATGACGAATCTGTCTTAAGGACACAGTGTCAAACACTGGACTTGATCAGATTATTATTCAAGAATTAATCAAGTAAGTTATTTAATTTATTTTCAGTGTTATTATTATTTATTTAAATCAGATTTTAATTTTGTTTTTGTAACAAAATAAAATCTGTTTTTATTTATTTATTTTTATTTCTAGTTTGATTTTTGTAATCAAACAAATTCTCTCATTTCTTTTATTTCTTTATATTCTAATTGTTATTTAGTACACAACAGAATTTAAACTATTTAAATTACAGTGAAGATTATCCAACAATATGTATACTAGGGGTGAGCAGCGGATACACCGATCCGTCAAAACCGATAGAACCGAACCGAACCGATCCGCCCCATTTTGGACGGATGCGTAATGACGAGCGGACTGTTGCAGATTGATTTCCTCCAATCTGCCAATCTAGCAGATGGATAGCGGATTTGAGATTCCTTTGGCTACAATTGAACCTCCAAACCGCGAGTCCCCCTAGTAATTTATAAGACTTTGTGTTTTCAGCTTGTTTAAATATTCTGTTTGTGTTTTCAATTAAAAAAGAATTTAAATATTCTGTTAAAAAAAAGTTTTCAACTTGAATATCTTTTTTGAATTGAAAAAAATAAACATATTATTTATGTATATTTTTTTATTTTTAAATCTATCTCTAAAAATAATAAATAGAAAATATGATATATGCCCGTTGATTTTTGTTTTCAAAAACAAATATAGATGTAACAATACAGAGACATACAATCTCTACTACTGCTTTGTTCATGGTTTTGGTGGTTTGAATTGTTTTTATATTTTAAGAACCATAGATTGTAATACTTTATGTGGATGAGGCATGTTGTAGTTGTAGTATGTGGATGAAGCATATAGTGATTGTGATATTCTAAAGTTTCAAACTTTCTTACTTTGGATGATGCATGCAATGATTGTCATATTTTTTTAAGTCATTCACTGTAATACTTTTTTTTTTTTTTTTTAAGGAAGTGCACAAGTTGAATTATGTTGAAAATTTATAAAATTTTAAACTGCCAAACCGATTCGCATCTATCCGCTAAATTGCCAATTCACTCAATCCACATCCGTCGGATTGATGGACGAATGCGGATTGATTTTCTCAAATCCGTCAATCTAGCGGACGGATGACAGATTGGAAGTTTCGTAATCGCAACCGACCCGCGGTCACCCGTACACATGTGATGTGACTAAAACATTGCAAGAATGACCAAAGAAAAGAAAGGCGTTTTGGCTTTCAATCTTTTTAGCCCCTTTTTATATATATGTACACATGTGATGTGACTAAAACATTGCAAGAATGACCAAAGAAAAAAAAAGAAGGCGTTTTGGCTTTCAATCTTTTTAGCCCCTTTCTTTCAAAAAGGAAGGATAATGGGGATGCTTCCCTGTTCGTGGTCAGGATTATCTGCAAAGAATGACTTTCTTGCGTCCCCCCTCCCTCCCAAAAAAAAATATTTCTTGTGCTTCAGGTGGTGTCATGTTGTTTATTTTTATTTATCTTTACCGCTTGAAAATTGAAATATTTGGTGAATTGAATGTTGCATTGTTTCTATTCAATGTAATTTTAATTACAAATATGTAATCATACATATACACATCTTTTCATGAGTGTATTGTAAATTTTTTCTAAAATTACAATTATATTTCTAGCAAAAGACAATTTTTTATTTAAAAATAAAATTACGTATTTTTATGGTAGTATTATGTATTTTTAGTGTAATGCTATACATTTTATGGTTAAAATATCTTTGAATATATATATAATATTATCATAAAAATGTAACATTATTACAAAGTACGTAATTTTATTGTTGAATTACAAATTATACTCTACGAAAAAAATACGTAACATTTCTCATAAAATATATAACAAATATCACAAAATACGTAATAAAAACAACACATGGTTCACACTCTATAAGGGGTGTGTACCGAAATGTTTCCCAACGTACACAATCTTAGAAAAAATGGATGAAAAGGAACTAATTTACCCCAAGTTCCTTGTCATTTTTATTTATCATTATTATATTAGTTTTTCACATTTAGGGCTATAAATGAATTAATTAGCAAGTTCTTTAAATTTTTACATTTTGAGTCAATCTTAAACGAATTTTAGTTAAGTTGATCACAAATTGAATTCGAGTAACTTTGTTTTTTATAGTGCAAGATAATCAAGTCGAACATAATTATAAATTATTTAAACTTGACTTATTTATATAAATATATTTCAAACAAACTTCTAAACTAGTTGAATACAAGTTAAACTAAAATAACTTATTTTGTTTTACAACCAACTTAATGTAGTAATAATACACAAAATAATAAATAATTTTTAGTTGACGATGATCATAACATTATATGACTATGTGCACGTTTGGTGCAGTTTAAAAACTGCTTATTTCAGCTTTCAGCTTAATTTAAGCTATTTTGATATGTTTGGTTTAGCTTAACAATGCAGCTTATAGCTTTTTGTAAGTCAGAAATCAGCTTATTCTTTGAGTGGAGCAGGAGATACTTAATTTATAAGTCAGAAATCAGCTTATGTTCATAGTTATAAGGTATAAACTGTTAACATATAAGGTATAAGTACTTTCCCACAGTTCTACCAAACAGGACCTATGACGAACATTATTATTACTATGAAAAGTGAAAACCATAAGGCCCTGAATTAACATCGTTGGATGTATGGGAAAATTATTTGAACTAACTAAACCATGTGCTAGTGATATGGTCCAATCCCTATCTTCATATTCATACGTGTGAGGGGTTGGTTCTCCATAGTAAACCAGTGGTAAAAGCATTAGTGATATAAAGCAAACAAACAAACAAACAGCATCTATAGGAAAAGCAAAAGGCTATTATTCAACCAAATAGATTAACGCAAAAAGACAGATAAGCAATGTAATACACTGTCACATAATGCAATAATGCTGAGTAATATATATAAAATAATAAATCTTACAAACCTTTTTTTATTAGTTATAGGTGTGACACTATCACATTAGTCGTATTTTAATTTTTGGGTAAATTACAGTCCCTAAAGTTTATTAAAAATATAATTTTTTTATTTATCTGAAAATTTATATCTTAACTCTTGAAATTTTCAATCACACAACAAAAAATCTCCTCTATTAATCAGTCAATCGTTAAGTTAAACTTTATGAAGTTAACCATTTTATTTATTTATTTATTTTTCCTGTCTCATCTTTTTTATTCCCAAAAATCCTCTTTATTCTTCATATTCTCTCAACAAGTAAAATTACTTTGTCTAAATATTGCATCACCCTCGTTTACTCTTAATCAGTACTATTGTGATTATTGTTTAAAACCATTTCGTGTGTCACTTAAGAGGGTTGGAGAATATTGTGATGGTGTGGAGAGAGGAATTTGGTGGTGAGTGGATGAAAATGAGGGTAGTATGATAATTTATTTTGGTATAAGAGAGTATTTAGGTTTTTTTATTTTGATTTTATAGGTTAATTGAAACAAAATTTCTGACAATAAAATATTCGTGATTAGAATCTGTATTTTTGACAAATCTCAAGGGATATATTTATAATTTAATCTAATTTTTAAAATTTATTTATTACATAACACATAAATTAGTATAAAAAGAAATGATAAAATTGAAATTTGCTTAGCATTTTGGATACAATGTTATTCATATTGAGGTGTGAAAGCATGTGAACGCAGGACCACTTGCATCAGTAGCAACACCAGCCTCTCTCACGCACAGTCACTTCCATCACTTGTACCAACACCACACCACCATTATTTTTGCCTTTTTCTTTTTCTTTTTTTCTTTTTTGGGAATACCATTCTTGCCTTTTTCAACAACCCAATTCACTGTCTTACTCTTGCCAACACTCCAAGCCCCTCTCTATCCATTTATGTGTTCTTATCTATCTATCTATCTATCTATCTATCTATCTATGTATATCAGTAGTATATAGATTGAAAGATCTCCTCCCTAGAGTACCGTGTTAGTTAGATACATAAGCATAATATATCAAGTGAGTGTGAGAAAGCCATGTTGTTGAGAAAAGGCATTGCTTTGGTTATTGTTTTGATGGTTTTGGATGTCCAGACATGTCTGGCTCAGATCATGAACAGAGCAAGCTTTCCAAAAGGTTTTGTTTTTGGGACTGCCTCTTCTGCTTACCAGGTTGGTTGTTGTTTTTTCTTTCTTTTCTTTTTTTTTTTTCATGATTCATTCCTTTACTTATTTATTTCTGAAATACCATTATTGAAATGCTATCTTGTTTTTTCTTGAAATTTAAATGCCTATATTTCCAAGTTGTAGAAAGATGGCCACAAACCAATACTCTTTTATTTATTTGTTTGTTTATTATTCTAGTTGCACTTTTCTGTGCCTTCAATATTCATTTCCATTAATTTCTGTCTTTACTCTAATTTTTAGGCAGCTTTATTGTATTTTTCATCATCAAAAGAAAATTTACTTACTTTATTTTATATTTCTGGGCGGGTATAATATAAAATAAGCGAGAAACATATGATATACATGTATGTATATGTATAAGATGAATTTTGATCCTCTTCATTTCATATATATAATAGAAGATTTTCATTATATATTTAAGCCAAGTTTGTAGTGTACTTACACACCTTTAATTTTTATTTTTTTCTCATATTATCTTTCTGCTTTTCTGTACATCTTTTCGTAAAAAGTCAAAATTATACTTATTTAGTTCATACCAAACCACCCCTTAATCTATAAAATATTAATACAAATTTATATTTAATTTAAATTTAAAAATATTATTATATTCACCCATAGAATAGAATCTCGAGAGGACATAATCTTTCTCGAGAGAGCTACATGAGGGGTAACTTAGTCAATTCGTTGAGAAGTCAGTTACTATTGGCGGGTTTTTTCCGCGACCGTAACGCCTTTCGGTTAAAACCATTCTATTTTGGTGTATTCCGTTAGTTTTCTATCCTCATATTTTGGGAAAAATTTGCTCAAATTAGTTTTGGTAGGGGCACTTTTGTGAATTAAATATTTACAAAGCCTGCTATAATCTCAATTGCTTAACAGAATTTTTTCTTTATTATTATCATTATTTGTTTTTGTTCGTAGGCTTGTATGTTCATCAATTGGTTAAGAGTTAACATAACCAGAACTGTCTTAATAAGGCGCTGCTTCAGAGCCTTAAATTCTGTTTTAAAAATAGAATTTTAACATAATTTTGATTTTAAGTTATGTTTGATTAATTATTTCGGGCTAAGTTATGTTTGATTTATAAAAATAAAGTTGAATAGATTAATTATTTCATAATAATGTCCATTTTCAAGTTTGATTTACTAAAATAAAAATTTAAATGAAATCATCGTTAATCATTTTGAGGGAATAGTAATTTTATGACTAAAGAATGACCAATCCATTCAATTCAATTCAATTTCAGTGAACCAAATACTGCATTATAATATTAGTAGTTTAAAATAAAAGTTGAAATAAACAATTGAATTGGTGAATTATTTAAAAATAATGGGTTGTTACTTGCCAAATGTATAATTATTTATAGAATATTATTTGATTATACGAGTTACAATTCTTTTGGAGAAATAATTATTTTTTTTAAGTTGAAGTTAATCAAATTTTACAATTTAATTTATTACGTCGCGAAAAGTGTGAATAAATTAATAGTATTAACAATTGAAAATGTTAATTTGCCTCAACAATTATGATTTACATCAATAATTATGTGTACCATATGTAACAATTTTATAGAAGATATAAGAAAAAATAAAAATAAATTAAAATTGTTACTATTTTACCAATATATAATTTTTAATATATATATATATATGAGAATCAAGGTCTCATCTTTTGAATTCGCCTTAAACCCCCAAAAAATCAGGCCGCCCCTAACTCTAACATTAGATAATATAAATCCCAAGGTAAAATTCATCTTTAAAAACTGATTTACAAAGTGAGGGTGTCCAAAAGTTTATATTCGCATAACCAAACTCATCTTTATTAATCGATATGAGACAATTTTTAAGATATAACAATATTAGATAAGAAACGAAAAAAAATTGATCGAATAAAGGGTGTTTAAGATGTACTAAAATAGTCAATTCCAGATTAAAATAATCAATAAAACAAAACATCTTGATCACTCTATCGACATATATATATATTTTGTAAAAAAATCAAATAACTAATTAAAATAACCTATTCTCAAACTGATTGACTAATACTGCTTGTATCTAGAAAAAGCATTAGAGAAATGAAGATGATGATGATATCATTAAATAACTAGTTTATGAATTGAATTGGATCGTTGGCTAAGCTGAGCTTCCTCTCCTCAAGACCTAAAAATCAAAATCTTAGAAAATTTCCTGATAGGTGTCTTTCTCTAACACTATGTTTGGGAACTTAGGAGAGAAAAGAAAAGAAATGATTACTTAAGTTATAAGAAAAAAGAAAAGAAAAGAAATGATTGTGATTTCTCTTCTTTTTATTTGGATAAAGAAGAAATAAAAGAAAAGAAAAGAAATTATTGTGATTTCTCTCATTTTTGTTTGATTATATTTCATTAAGAGAAAAGAAAAGAAAGTATTTTATATTATATTATCAAAATAACCTTTTTATATTTTCAATCATTTTATTTCTTTTATTTTTATAGGGACAAAATTGGTATTATGAAAATAGTGGTTTCTTTTCTCTCCCAATCTTTTCACTTTTGGGAAGATTGAAAATGAGACTTATAAAAGAAATGAATTTCTCTCAGTTTTCCTTCATTTCTTTTTATTTCTCTCTACTTAGGTTATCTAAATACGTGAGAGAAATACATATTTCTCCATTTGATTTCTCTCATTTTTGTTTGATTATATTTCATTAAGAGAAAAGAAAAGAAATTATTTTATGTTATATTATCAAAATAACCTTTTTATATTTTCAATCATTTTATTTCTTTTATTTTTATAGGGACAAAATTGGTATTATGAAAATAGTGGTTTCTTTTCTCTCCCAATCTTTTCACTTTTGGGAAGATTGAAAATGAGAATTATAAAAAAAATGAGTTTCTCTCAATTTTTCTTCATTTCTTTCCATTTCCCTCTACTTAAGTTATCCAAATAAGTGAGAGAAATACATATCTCTCCATTTCTTTTCTTTTCTTTTCTTTTCTTTTCTCTCCAAATCACTCAATCCAAACATAGCGTAAAGGCTCTTCGACGATCAAGTTAACACTACTCCAAAAAAAAAAAAAAAAAAAAAAAAAAAAAAAAAACCCCATCCACATTAAAACTAACAATGATGCAAAGGGGGTAGATGACCCCCAACAACAAAATGACCTTAAACAAAATGCTTGTGGGGACTTTTTTTTTTTTTTTGGAACAAATTTCTTATGTGAAACTGATTTAGGGTTGGTTTAGAATGTTTTAAAAAAATGTATTTTTTGATGTATTGGCTTATATGGGTTGGGTTTGAGTTAGGTTTGACGTGATGTATTAGAAAGATGATATAATTTAAATAAGATGATGTGACTTAAATAGGATAGTCACTTTTTGACTTTTTAATTTTTTTTAAGTTATACCAAACCAACCCTTAATTAATATTTTCTCTAACCGTGAAATGCCACGTGTCGTATTAGAATAACTCATTCACTCCACTATCCGATGACAGTTTTAGTTGGAGGGGCCACTCTATAATCGTATCACGTGTTTTGCAACTATAAACGCATCAAGTGTGACGTATGTTTGTTAGAATCAACCAGAACCAGGTCTTGATTCTTGATAAGTGTAAATCCTCAAGATTGAGTAGGCCATCATCTTAACTTTTTAGTGTCTCGACCGAATGGTGTCTGACCGACCGGGCCTTCCTGGACCTGGCTATCTTAAGGATGGGCCTGACTCTGATGTTCTAAAGCGGGCCGACAGCCCTTGGACTGGATTTATTGTTAACTTTTCCATACTCATTAGATGATAATCGGCCAGGATAGAGGTAGATATATTATGTTGAAAATAAGATAGATTGAAACAATAAAAAATGAGAGAAAAGATAGAAAATAATTTGGAAATTTTATAAAGTAGAATATATATATATATATTTTTTTTTATGAGGTGCCTAAATTATGAAGGAAGGGTTGTATACTTTTTAAGATTGTGTTTCGATCTAAAATTTAAAGAAGAATTTGTGACAGGAACAAAAAACGTAATAAAATTTTAACTTATATTTCTTTTATATTTGTTAAGAACCAAATCCAAAATACAAGATTCAAGAAATAATGAACAAGGGGCCTCATAAAGAAATTGATTAACGATGGTTAGATGAGTACAAAGGAGGATTGAACCTGCTCTTCGATGTAGATACATTTATATAGCATTCAAAACATGTGCTTACAAAACGAATCACATACAATTTATATTTACAATTCCTACATAACATGAATATATGGTATGTGATTACATCTTTAATGCGTCTATACAAAAGAAATATCTTACTTCACAATTTACAGATATTAAAGAGAGCATTCCCTCTAGTAAGTTAGGCTTCCGGCTTACAAAGTATACAGTAAGCCCGTCGCTAAACAAAACAACTAGCAAAAGAGCGGTCCGTGACCATCATCATGCATCATTGGGGTGGTGGTACCACATCTAAACCTGGAAAATATTAACCACAAAGGGATAAACAAAAGTCCAGTGCAGAATTTCTCTACTTATAAAATATATACACTGTTATGAGATATGATCCTGATGCATCACGGTACATAAATATAGATTTGATAATCTTTCCCAATCCAAGAATTTCTTCTGTCATTTCAAAATTTCCAAATACACTTATTACAATGAGTACAGTTAAATTTCAAATTCCTTTTAAGTTGAAAATATGATGAATCACAGGGTTAGTATCTAATAGTGGTCTATAAAAGAATCACCAAAAATACCCCAACTTTATCAGTTATTAGTCAAAAGGAAATTAGTACCTACTTGTAGGGGGTTCAAAATGAATAGTAATAATATCACTTAGAGAGGCAAAACTATGTTAATGAGTCAATAATTTGGGAAGGTTGGAGAGTGAATAGCCAGGTGAAGGTGGGACGAGTGGTCCAGAAAAAGAAATGGTAGTGCAATCAAATAGGTAGCTTATCCTCCAAATCCTGAAAACATTCTCCCTTAAACCTTAAGAGTTGGGCC